GCCCGAGGTAGGGCAGGTTGTCCGGCTTCTCCCCAACCCTCGCAGAACCCGGGGTTCCTGTGTGAATAGCTCTGATGCGGCTGCGCGCTCGTTCCGCGGAGTCATCGCTCCCCTCCTAACGTTCCCTCTCCGGAGCAGCGCCCCCCGCGGCCTGCGTGGTCGTAGGGCAAGTTCAAGGACCCACCTGAACCGAGCTTCCGGTGGTGGCTCCTGGTCCTGCGGGGCAAATGGTAGTGCGGCCAGCGCTCAGCCCCGAGGAAAGTCTATCAGCGGTTCTCAACCTGTGGGTCGCGACCCCTTTGGCGGCCGAACGACCCTTTCACAGGGGTCACCTAAGACCATCCTGCATATCAGATATTTACATGACGATTCATAACAGTAGCAACATTACGGCTATGAAGTAGCAATGAAAAGAATTTTATGGTTGGGTCACAGCATGAGGAACTGTATTTAAAGGGCCAGAAGGTTGAGAACCACTGGAAATGAACGGAGGCGTCTTTACCTTCTTCGGCTCCCAGGTGTGGGTGGGAGGCAGGGTCGGGCTAAGCGGAGGTCTGGTGATGAGATGGGCAACCTTCCCCGGAGGAAGAACCAGTTCATGGCGGGGGCGGTTCTCGGGTCACCTTTCCAGGAAGAGGTGACTTTCCAGCGAATCGGTGGAAAAGCTAAGGCTTTGGCATCGAACACACGTGGGTTCCAGCCTCTGCTCGGGCCACACTCCGCTCTGTGACCCTGAGCACAGCGGCCAGCCTTGGAGTGTTCCCATCCTTAAGATGCAGAGAGCAGCTCAGGCCCAATACCTTTCTGAGGCGCCCTCCCGCCCCCCACTCCCGATCATATTCATTTCTCTTTATGTCCCTCCCTCTCTTCTTTCCTCACTTCCTCTCTTCTCCATTTTCTTTCTTCATTCCTTCATCTTCCTTGCCTTTTTTCTAATTGAGGTATAACTTACACATAATTAAACTGCACAGGTTTTAAGAGGGTAGCTGGATGGCCCTCGCTGGTGTGGCCCATTGGATAGAGCTTCCGCCTGTGGACTGAAGGGTCCGGGGTTCTATTCCCATCAAGGGCACATGCCCGGGTTGTGAGCTGGATCCCCAGTAGGGGGCGTGCAGGAGGCAGCTGATCCATGATTCTCTCATCATTGATGTTTCTCTCCCTCTCCCTTCCTCTCTGAAATCAATAAATTTTTTTTAAAGAGGGTAGCTGGGTGAATCTTTATGTATATATACACATATACTGGTAATCAGCTCCCAGATCAAGATATAAGACATTTCTCTAACCCCAGGGTTCCACTTGCTCTTTCCCACTTAAAACTTGGCCCCCAGAGGTAACCACTGTCTGACTCCTACTGTATAGCAAGGTTGCCTGTTCGCTATCAAGTGGTTGCTATTTTCTGTGGTTTCTTCCACCCAACATGTCTGTAAGGTTCATCCATGGCATTGCATATATCAGTAGTTTGTTTATTGATGGGTAGTATTCTACTGTATGAATATACTACAATTCATTAGTCCATTCAACCGTTGATGGGCATTTTGGTTGTTTTTTAGTTTTTGGCTATGAACATTAATATAGTCTTTTGGTGAATAAATGTACTCAATTCTGTTGGATATATACCTACGAGCAGAATTGCTGTGTCAAAGAATAGATGCAGGTTTTATTTTAATAGACACTGTATATCAGCTCCCCCAAAAGGTTGAATTAATTTATGGAAGTTAGTTTCTTCACATCCTTCCTTGCCAATAGTTGGCATTAGCAGTCTTCAGTTTTTGGTAAGTGTAGCAGTATTGCTGAGTGCTTTTTGTTTGTATTCCCCTAATGAATAATAATGTTGACTCCTTTAATAACTAATTAGCCATTTGGTTAACTTTTTGTGAAATGATTATTCAAGTAATCTGGTTTTTTAATGGGCTCATCTATCTATTCCCTATGATTTCTATGAATGCTTTATATTTTCTGGATATGAATCTTTGTTGGGCATCATGAATATATCCTCCTAATCCAGTGGTCGGCAAACTCATTAGTCAACAGAGCCAAATATCAACAGTACAACGACTGAAATTTCTTTTGAGAGCCAAATTTTTTAAACTTAAACTATATAGGTAGGTACACTGTTATTAACTTAATTAGGGTACTCCTAAGGCTTAGGAAGAGCCATACTCAAGGGGCCAAAGAGCCACAGTTTGCTGACCACGGTAACCTAGTCTGTGCCTTGCCTCTTCAGTTCCTTATGACTTCATTTCATTTTGTTTCAAAAATAAACATACAAGAACATTGAGTTTTAAAATTACAGTCTATGAGATTTGACGCATGTATAAATAATGTAACCATCACCGTAATCAGGATGCAGAACAGTTCTGTCCCTTCCCCAAAGTTGCCTTGTGCTGACCTTCTAGTCATAGCCTTCCCCCATCTGTAACCTCTGGAGAACCACGAATCTGTTCTTTGTTGCTATAGTGTTGCCTTTACCAGCATGTCATATAAATGGAATCATATAATGTGGGTAGTCTTTTGAGTGTGAGATTTATCCATGTTGTTGCATGTATCAATAGCCATTCCTCTTTATCACTCAGTGGTCATCTATCATATGGATGCACCACTGTTTATTCACTTGTTGAAGGAAATTTGGGTTGTTGACACTTTTTTTTTTTTTTAAATATATTTTATTGATTTTTTACAGAGAGGAAGGGAGAGAGATAGAGAGTGTGAAACATTGATGAGAGAGAAACATCGACCAGCTGCCTCCTGCACACCTCCCACGGGGGATGTGCCCGCAACCCAGGTACATGCCCTTAACCGGAATCGAACCTGGGACCTTTCAGTCCGCAGGCCAACGCTCTATCCACTGAGCCAAACCAGTTTCGGCTGTTGACACTTTTTGACAACCAGAACTTGCGCTGCTATCAACGTCTATGTACAGGTTTTTGTGTAAACATATGTTTTCATTTCTCCGGATTAAGTGCCCAGGAGAAGGTTACTAGATCATTTGTGTATGTATGTTTAACTTTATACAAATAGGCCAGTCTGTTTGTGTTCCCATCAGCAATGTGTGGGAGTTCCGGGTGCTCTGTACCCTCACCAACCACGTTATTATCACTGTTTCTATTTTAGGGTTCTAGTAGCTGGTGGCGGTATTTCATCATAGTTTTACTGTGCGTTACCTAAAGGCTAAATTGTTGAGCATTCATTCTATGGGCTTGTCTGTCATACATTTATTCTTATTGGTAAGATCTGTTCAAGCATTTTGCTCCCCTTTTTAAAAATCAGGTTGTTTCCTTACTGTTGAATTTTGAGAATTCATGTATTCTGGATATAAATCCTTTGTTAAAAAGACTATCTCCCATTAAATTGACTTTGCATCTTTGTGAAAAGTCAGTTTGCCATATTCTGTGGTTATTACCCATCTTGCATGTCTACTTTTTCATGAACTTATCATCGTTATTGTAAATTCCCTCTCCGATCGTTCCAAACTCTGTATCATGCCTGTCAGGTTCTGATGCTTGCTTTGTCTCTCCAGACTGTATTTTCTTCTTGCCTTTAAACATGCATCGTAGTTTTTGGCTGAACGCCAGACGTGACGGATCAGGCCGGAGGAACTGGGGCGATTAGGCTTCCAGGGTGAAGTTTCACGGCAACTGGACCAGGCGTTGGCCTGTGATTATGGTTTGCTATAGCTGGAGGCTTCTTCTAGGTTCCTTGTTTTTTGCTGCATCGTTGTTGTCTTTGTGTTTTCCTAAGGACGCCTTACACAGAGTCTGCTTTGCAGGCAGCTCTCTCCGACGGAATCCCTGTTGTTATGTACTGGAGCCCTGTTGATGTGGGTAGGGTGTAGGGCAAGGGAGGTGTTCTCTGATCATATCATTAAATCTTTTTTTTTAAGTAGGCTTGAGTCCTTGTGCTGTGACCTTCAGAAGCAGTTCTTAGCCTTTTCTTTTCCTTTCTTTTTTTTCCTTTTCTTTTCTTTGCTTTGCTCTTTTTTTCTTTTCTTTTTTTAATCTCCTTACAAGAGACGCGAAGGTTCATGGGGCTGGAGTTGACTAAATGCCATTCCTCCAAATCAGATAAGACTCTGTAAAGAGAGTGAGCCTTTGTTATGGCAGCCGCACTGGGTGTTTTAGAAATGGTTAATTTTCCCTTCCCTGCCTGAAACCATGGTGGGGCTCCTGGAGATAAAACCCATAGAAGTGCGGGGCCCCCAGAAGAGCTGAAACCATAAGGTCTGTTGATTAATTTTTATGTGTGAAGATTTTCCAGTTACCTTTTTCTTAATGATTTCTGATTTCCATTGTGGTCATAGAACGCATTTTGAAGAATTTCAATTTTTAAAATGTATCAAGGTTTTAGGATCCTGGATACATTCCGTTTTGGCGAATGTTCCTCGGGAAGAATGTAGTAGGAAATCAATCGAGCTGGTTGGTTGGGGTGTTTTCGGTTCTGTCTCCTGGCTGATCTGCTTTTTGTTCTGTTGCTTGCTGAGAGAGGAGTGCTGAACTTTCTGCCTGTAACTGTGGGTTTATCCATGTCTCCTCTTGGTTTTATTGCATTTTGCTGCATCTTAGTGTCTCTGATTTAAGAGCTACCATGTTACAAGCACAAACTGAAGTATGGCAATGAGGGGCCATTTTTTGCAGAATGGACTTTGTCCACTTGCCACAATCTGATACTCAGCGTCAGTCCTGATGGTGTGCGCCTCAATTTTGATGACAGACACCTTATGCCAGGACATCTCGGACTTCCAGGAATTTCACATAAAAACATGTATGGAACATGTATAACATACACACACATATAACATAAAGAAGGCGCGGTTACTTCTTTGATTGTAATGTATAAACACAAATGTAACCCTGCCAGTCCCCGGAGCATT